GGGGGGGGCTTCTGCTCAGCTCAGACCCTTCCTCTTTGCATCCCAGCAGGACCCGGGAGCGGAAGCCAGGGGGCCAGAGGAGCCCAACGGCACCGTGCCCCCTCATCCCTTCTACCCCAAGCGGCCAGACCGCGCCTCTTCCTACCAGATGGCTGTCCAGGAGGAGCCGGCCTCCGGACTCAGCAAGGAGAAGGCCCACCACACCTTAGCGGACCTCAAGCGCCAGCGGGCAGCGGCCAAGCTGCAGCGCGCCCCCACGGAAGACCTCCCGCCCGGCACCAGCCCGGCTCACCCAGCCCCCCAGGCGGAGCCCAACGCCGGCGTGTGCTTCCCTGCGGCCAGCGGGGACCCTCCCCTCCTCAAGTTGACCGCTCCAGCCGAAGAGAGGCCGGCCCAGAAGAGGCGATGTTGCCGGCTGATGTGAGCAGTCCCCTCCTCTTGGGCCGGTGGAGCGGATTAATGTGGCGGCCTTGGCTCCCGGTGAACCGAAGGTCCTTGGCGTCCAACGATGCCTGGCGTGGAGATCTCAGGGAGGGCTGAATGCCCCACTCAAGGGAGGAGCAGAGTTGGAAGGGGCCTCGGAGGTCATCTAGGCCAACCCCCTGCTCAAGGACTGCGGACAAACAGCTGGGGTGTGTGTGTGTGTGTGTGCAGCTTGGTCTGGTGACTGGGCACTGAGGCCCAGCAGGGCAGGGATGCCCAGGAGGCATCGACTGGGGGTGCCAGGCAGAGATACGGTGAGCCAGTTTGCCTGCCCCCCCGCCGTTCTCTCTCTCCGGCTGTGTCCCAGCTCTTTGGCTGCAGGAGGAGCTGAAAGGAGAGGGGGGCCAGGTCTGCCCCGTGGCAGTGGAGGACTTGCTTCAGCACCAAGGCGGTCCCAGCTGCAAAACCCCTGGGGATCATCGGATGGCGGCAGCGAGCCGGTTTGCTTCCTGTCTTCGGCACCCCTTGGTGACTGTCTTACCTTTTGCAACCCAAAGTCGGTAGCCCCTAAGCCCAGGGCCTGCAAGGCAGGGCAACCTATGGCCCTCCCTGCCTGGCACCTCCCCAGGCCTCTTCCGTGGCCGGCAAGGGCCAGCCGGGAGGCAGTGGGGGAAGCCTTGGGCGATCGGAAGGGGTAGGAACTGGCAGGTCTCTTTGGGGCGGCTTCCTCGGCCTCCCAGTGGAGGAGATGCTGGCCTCTTTCCCCTTGCACCCAAGGGCAGGTAGGTGTGTGTGTGAGTGTGTGTGAGAGAGAGAGAGAGAGAGAGAGAGAG